GGATCTGGCAGGGTAGCTAAGTGGGTAAGAGTGTTGTCCTGATACGCCAAGGTTAAGGGTTTGTTTTCCAGTCAGGGCACATACAAGAATCAACCAATGAACGCATCAGTAAGTGGAACAACAAATCAATGTTTCTCTCTCCCTCAATCTCTCTCTCCCTTGGGCTCTCTCTTAAAAAAAAAAAAATAAATTTTTTTTTTTAATTCTCATCTGAGGATATGTTCTTCACTGATTCTATAGAGAGGAAGGGAGAGTGGGAGGGGGCGAGGGAAGGAGAAACATCGATGTGAAAAAGCATCCATCAGTTGTCTCGTTGCCTCCCATACCAGGGATGGAACCCACCCGCAACTTGGGTATCGAACTTGTGACCCTTCGCTTCATGGGACGACACTCTAACCAACTGAGCCACACTTGCAGGGCTATAAAAAAATTTTCTTGACCTTGGATTTGACAATGGATTTTTAGATATGACACCCAAAATACAAGCAACATAAGAAAAAATAAAGTAGATTCACTGAAATTAAAAACTTTTATGCAAAGAACATTATCAAGAAACTAAAAAGACAAACAAAAAATGGGCAAAAATATTTGCAAATCATATATCTGATAAGAGTTTAGTATCTAGAATACATAAAGAATTCTTACAACTCAACAACAAAAAGACAAATAGCCTGATTATACAATGGCAAAGAACCTGACTAGACAGTTCTCCAAAGAGATAAAAATGGGCAACAAGCATATGAAAAGATGCTCAACATCATTAGTCATTAGGGAAATGCAAATCAAAACCATGAGATAACACTTCACACCCACTAGGATGGCTGCAATTAAAAAAAAGAAAAGAACAATGTTGGTGAGGATGTGGAGAAACTCAAACCTGGTGGAAATGTAAAATGGTGCAGCCATATGGAAAAGTTTGGCACTTCTTCTAAAAGTTAAATATAGAATACACTGAAGATTACAAATATAGGATATATAACCCAGATTATTTACATCTACGTGTTATCTAATTATTTAGACTTTTAGCATATAAATATAGGATATTCGATCTAATTTGTGTAATTTACACAAATATAGATTATAAATATAGAAATACTCAAATACTTGTACACAAATATTCACTGTAGTACTATTCACAATAGCCAAAAGGAAGAAATAACTCAAATGTCCATCAACAGACATATGGATAAACAAAATGTGGTATATTCACACAATGGAATAGTATTTGGACATAAAAAGGAATGAAGTGCTGATCCATGCTACAGCATGGATGAACCTCAAAAACATTATGCTAAGTGAAAAACGCCAGACACAAAAGACCACAAATAGTATGATTCATTTATATGAAATATCCAGAATAAGTCAATCCATAAAGACAGAAAACAAACTGGTGGCTGCAGGGGTAGGAGGGGGAAAGGGAACTGAGTGCTTAATGAGCACAGGGCCTTCTTTTAGGGTGAGGAAAATGTTTTGGAACTAGACAGAGGTAGTGGTTACACAACACTGTGAATGTACGTAACAGCCACTGAACTGTACACTTGAAAATACAGTAGGTCCTCGGGTTACGTCGGAGATCCGTTCCTACGGTGCAACGTAATGCGATTTTCGCCGTAAGTCGGAACCCACCTACATAAGCACCTACATCACTCACATGGAGCACATACACAGCAGTAATGAAGTGAAAGAAGTAAAAAAAAATTTTAAAGAAAAATAACAATTCCTGACCTTTACTTGTGATAAATAATAAAAAACACAAAGCACATATATACATACGTCGAAATGACGGTATTTTTTTAAAAATAAATACCGTAAATGGGAGATGGCAACGGAACCACGAAACTACGTAGTAGTCGAGTCCGATGTAACCTGAGGACTGCCTGTAGTTAATTTTGTGTTATGTAAATTTCACCTCAATTTTTTAAAAAATAAAACAAAACTCGAAAAACTAACTTATGCTATTGGAAATTAGGAGAGTTACTGCTTGGGAGTGGCAGGGGGCTTCTGGAGACTGTCTTGTTCTATTTCTTGATCTGAAACTAGTTTGGGGATGAGCTTATGATCCAGGCACTTAACCTATAGTGTTTTATACTAAGAACAAGCTAAGAAGACAAAAGAAACCTAGAAGGAAAGAAAAAACATCCCCACAACAATCCCAGTTTACAAATGAGGAAACAGAGGCACAGAGAGGTCCCATTACTTGCCCAAGGCTCATAGCTGTTGACCAGAATAGCTAGGATGGAGCTGGGTTTGCTTTGTCCACGCTCTTGACCACGACACTGTCTGCCTCGAAAATGGCAGATAGGACCAGGCCTGGGGGGGCCTGGCAGAGGCTGTTCTGGAAAGGGAACCAGCACATAGCATGAGCCACTCCAATAACGGTGCTCTCCCTTCAGCCATTCCTTGAACAGACCTTACCAGGACAAGAAGCAGCCTGTGGGCCAGGCCTTGGAAGCACTGGTTCAAAGTCAGAGGATGCAGTGCTGCCACCTTCTCAATGGAACCTCCAGAGTCAGTCTTCCTGCTTAGCCTCAGCGTCCTGGTCTGTAAGATGCCCGCCTCACAAGACAGCTAAGAAAATGCAACAAAATCGGGCTTCCTACAGCACAGCCCATGCCTGGCACAGAATGGGCACAAAGTAAACTGGGACTGCTATTATTGTAAACACCAGGGGTGGGATGGTGCAGGTGCCAAAACAGTCGCAGTCAGCAGAAGCCACCTTGCCTTGCCCATCTCTGCCAGCTGCTGCTCAGAACAATGGGCACTGAGAGGCCCAGGAGTGAAACAAATATGTGTGTGTGGTGCAAACCCAAGGCAAGTGTGTCCCAGGTAGGCCATCTCAACAGCTCATCTGGTCTCCCTGTAGCACAAATGAAGGCAGTGAAGGCCTGAGAGGGGCTGAGATTCACTTAATGCTATCAGCAGACCTGGACTAGAGACAAACCCCCATCCCTGCCACAGTCCTCCAGCCACCTCCAGGGCACCCACACCCCAGCCCACACCCATGGGCCTTGGGAAAATCAGGAGCTTGAGACTCTGGCCCACAGACCACACTAGTCTCCGCCCACCCTCCCCCCACACCACCCCCCCCCAACACACACACACAACCTCAACCATTCATTCAACAATTGGTTACTGAGCACCTACTGCATGCCATGTCTTTTCTAGGCACTGGGGCTACCACAGCAAACAAGCTGGATCAAACCCCTGCCCTCAAGGAGCTCACAGCGTCAGAGGCCTGCGTTGTTAACCCATTTTACAAATGTGCAACCAAGGCTCAGAGAGGTGACAGCTTACTCACAGTCACACCAAGAGGAAGTGGCAGAGCCAGGGTTAGAACCTTGACATCTGCCCAGGTTCAGAAAGTTCCATCGATGGCCCCAAACACAAGGCCCAATCTGAGAGGTAGACTGACATGTCCTGAATGACACCCCTGTCTTTTGAGGGCAACAGGAATAGATCTCCCTGCCCAGTCTGATGGGGGAGGCCTGGCCCGGGGGAACTGCCTCTGCCCCTCATCACTGCAGTCTGCAGCCTAGGGCAGGGCAGGATGGGTGGGCATTTCTCCCTGTTCCCTAAAGGCCAGCCCCATCAGCCTCCCTGCCCTCTTCAAACATGCCTGTCCACTCCCCTCTCCAGACTCGTGGGCTGTCCCCTTCACCCTCATGCTCTTGCCTCAGTTAGCCATGGGACTCACTCCCTTGCCTCCCTCAGGTCTTTATTCAAATGGGCCCCTCTCAGCAAGGCTCTCTCTGACCACCCTGTCTATGACAGTGCCCCCTGCCTGTTTCACAGCCCCTCCTGTACACGATGCTTGGTTTTTCTCCATGGCACTTACCACCAGTGCCACTGCCCTCCCCATTAAATGTAAGACATGAACATGAAGATGGGGACTTTGCCTGTTTGGTTCACTGCTATATTCCCAGTGCCCAGATAAGTGCCTGGAACACAGCAGCTGCTCAATAAATGTCTGCTGAATGAATGAAAGTACATGAAGAGCAGCTATCACAGGCCTGAAACCCTCCCTCCCTAGAGGAAGGTCCAGGAGGCCAGGACAGCCTGCCTCCTTCCTCCTCAGCCTGGACAAGCCAGCTCTCAGCTTGTGCTTCTTCCCAGCTGCACGCAGCAGCAGAGCTGGCAAGTGCCACAGTTTTATGGACAGGCAGCCTGGGACCTAGAAGTCTGTCTCTTAGTCTTTACCCTGTAAATACCTTCAGTCACTGGCTGCTCACCAGTACAACCAGATCGGTCACACCACGATTCACAACCTCCTCGGCTTCCAATCACCTAGAGACTTCCATTGTGCCACTTCCTCCTGCTCTCCCTCCCTCACTCTCTGCTCCAGCCACACTTCCACTTTTGTCCTTGTGTCACCTTTACCCCGCTCCCTTACCTGCTCCAGCCTCTGTTTATCTCCTCAGAACGACTTCCCCTGACCACCCATCTCTCTCCGGCCCCCTCCCTCTCAGAGTTCCTATTTTCACAACAGTACTTACCACCACTACCATCACATGTCTGCATATTTGTTTGTTTGTCCCCACCTCCCAATGGAATGGAAATTCCATAAGGGCATCACGCTGTCTCCAGAGCCTGGGACACCCTGGCATAAACCACACATTCGATGAGTATTTGCTGAATGAGTGTGTTACTTCAATTAAGTGACTTCCCTTCTCTGAGCCTCAGTTTCTTTACCTATAAAATGGGGCTATGAATGAAATCACTAGTGCAGAAGCAGAGCTCAAGGCTGGGCATGCGGACTCATGCAAAGTATCTAGGTAGACCTGGAGACTTGGCCCCAGGCAGAGCCACAGCTCCTCTGCCCAGACTACTGCTGAAGGATTTCATGAAATGAGTGGTAAAGAGCTACTGGCTGGGATGCTGTGAAGACCCTGCACCTCTGCTTCTCACAACATCAGCTGCCAGGAGGAGAGGGGAGGGGAGGGGGAGGGGGAGAAAGGAAGAGAGAGAGATGCACAATCCCACAGGCATAAGTGGCCCCTTACCACGCTTGTGGAGCCAGCCTTCTTTGATGACAGACACCTCGTTCATGGTGGCAGCGTGACACGCTGTCACCTAGCTCAGGACAGTTCAGGGCAGCAGGACATGCAGGAACAGAGCACAATCTGCAAGACAAGAGAGGAGCTCATCAGAGTTGGAGGGAGACTGGGCCCCAGCCCCTTCCCAGGGGACCTCCAGGCTCTGTGGCCCCTGTGGATGCTGTTTGTTCTGTACATGGTGGAGCCAGTGAGAGTGGGAGAACTAGTGAGTGGGAGTGGGGGGGGGGGGATGTGGCTGTGTCTCCGGGGACCCCAACCTAGGGGTGGGGGAGCAGGAAGGACACAACCCTGGCCACAGAGCCCTACTCTGCAGGGATCAGAGCTCCCTGGCCTATGTGCAGGCCAGACCCTGTGCTCAACACCCACAACACCCACACTGAGCAGAGGCAGCCCATCCACCCACCCTCACCCCAGGCTGGGAGGGTGGTAAGGGAGCTATGGCCCCACCCCCAGCGTCACTCCCATGCCCCAACACTGAGGTAACCTAGATGAATCAGACAGCCCTGGGCACCTGAGGGAGTGCTCAAAGCCAACAACATCTGCCTGCCACCCCCCAGCAAACACACACCCTCACTCACTCTCTCCTTTCCAAACCAGGCCAACAACCTGCCATCTTTAGCAAGCCAAGTACTCCCCCTCCCCTGCCTCAGGCCACCCCATGTCAGCCGCAGCCTCAGGTCCCTCCTTGCCCCTATTAAAAAAAAAAAAAAAAAAAAAAAGGGCCTCAGGTGCTCCAGGAAAGCAACCTACTGTGCAGACACTTGTCTGGGGCCCAGGAGCCAGTCCTGGGGGCTTGATCAAGGCCCTGGTTCCTTCCCCAAGACCTCCCTTTCTGTCCTCAGGGACCAGCAGCTGATAGACTGACAGACGCCGAGGCTGCTGATTCTGTCTCAGGTTCCCAGGCGGGAGGGTGGAGGGGAGAAGGACAGGAGGCAGCCACCAGCCCGGCCCCTACCTGGAGCTGCAGGCCTGGGCAGGAGCCACGAGCCACAGAGCCCAAGGCGCCTTTCGCCTTTCCTAGCCTAGGGTTATTTGCGGACAGCAGGTCAGGAGCTACGGTGGCCCCCAGCAGCTGCCTCTAGGGACACTGTGGGCATCAGCTTTCTCCCGTGCCCCAGGGGAGCTGGTGGGCTGGACACACTACTGCCTGGCATGTGACCGTGGCAAGCTGCCGGGCTGGGCAGAGGGAAGAAGGTAAGTGGGAGGAAGCAGGGGAGAGACAAGATGAACAGTGACAGGGAAGTAAACAGCGGGCTGAGAAATCATGTTCTGAACTCCAACCTGCAAAGACAGCGCCAGAAGCAGCAACAGGGGCTCCCCTCACCAGCAGACATGACAGGCCCCCCAAAGGACTCACACCCCACGAACCCAATACCCAGGACTGCCAGACCTTCCATCCTCAATATCCCACCAGTCTGTTTTAATCACTAATGTGACCAGTTTCTCCATCCAGCCCTCCCTGAGTCTGGCTCAGGGCCAGCACTATCCTTTCCCAGCAGGGTCCCGCTATACCTGCTCCCTGGACTCCTCCCCTTCTATCTTTCCCCGATTCCACAGCTAGAAGGACCCTCAAACCTAACCCTGTCCTTCCCCTACTCAAAACCCTCCCGTGGCTTCCCACTGGCCTCGGGAAAGTGACAAGCTCCTAGGCTTGGGATTCAAGGCCCTTCAGGACCCGGCCTCCGCCCGCCTGTACTCCACTGTCTCCTACCCTGCTGACCAGGGTGGTCCCAGCCACCCAGCTTCCTAACCACTTCTCCCACAGGGCCCCACCTTCCCTCACCTCCCATCATCTCCTCTCCTCTCCCCTAACCAGTCTTCTCCCTGGGTTCTCAACCTCTGCACTCAGCTCCTACATTCCATCTAAATCTGGCCTTCTCTCCCTGTGAGCCAAGAGGCACCTAGAAAGCCCTCAATAAAGGCTAATGACCATGACAATGATTACAGCTGGCACCACCTCCCCAATCCCTCTTCCCCCATCCTACTCTCTGCCTGCTTGTCACTTAGGCCCTTCCCTCTGGCCTCCATCCCCCACACCTTCGTGAGTTTTCCCTCCTCGAGGTCTCAGCTGAACCGATTCCTCCTCCAAGAAGCCTTCCTGACCTCAGAGGCTTCACTGGGTGCCCTCTGTGCACTTCCTCCACCACTTCTCCCCACACCTGCTAGTGCTCACAGTGAGCCAGCACCACATCTGGTATCGGCAGAGTACACAATGAATGAATCCAAGTCTCCCCAGTAGACGCCCCCCACTCCCCAGCCCAGGAACAGACACAGCCACAGAAACACTCCCAGAGTCTAATCATGCCACCAATTTGTTTGAGGGTGTCCTAAGCTCTAGAGACTATCCTGGGTGCCAGACACAGAGCATCACTAAGACACATTTCAGTGGGGGAAGCAGACACATAACAACGGCAGGTGGTGGCGACCCTGCTGAGAATAAAAATAAAGCAAGAGAAAAGGATGGCTGGGAAAGGAGCTATGTTAGCCACATGCTGTGGGGGACATGTGAGCAGGGTGAGTCCTGAAATGTAGGCAAAAGAATTCCAGGCAGGGCAACAGCAAGTGCAAAGCCCCTGAAGCAGAAAGGAGCTTGTGAGCAGGGAGAACTGCCAAGGGCCCACGTGGCTGCAGGTCAGAAGCCAGGAGAGGCGCCTGGGAGCACACTTAGGGCCGGGCAGCTGTGGTGGGAGCTTAGGGAATTCCTCCCCAACACAGGGGCCAATATTGCACTTTCCCAGGAGGGAGTTCAGTTTGGAATAGTTCCCAAAGGGCTGGGATGGACCCAGAGTCCAAAGGAAGGGTGCTGTGGAAGGAAAGGACAGGGCCTGGTGTCCAATATCAGCGCTCCTCTCCCCTCCCCTCCCCAACCCAGCAACTTCATTTCACCTCAAGGAGCCTCCGTGATTCAGCACTGACGCGCCCAGTGTGTACAAAGGTTCAGCCCACAGCCTAGCCCCTAAGAACCCGCAAACACATGGCTGCCGTGATGGGAAAGAGAGAAGTGAAGGCGGCCACGTGTGACCTGGAGTGGTCAGGGTTGCAGAGTCCGGGAGTCACTGCCAGCTGGGTGGCTGTGAGCAGGGTGACAGCGTTCCCATGGAGTCTCTCTTAACACGTTAAGCGCCCAGCCCGTTTTGTCTTCCGGGCGGAAAGATAGTGTCAGTCACCGGTGACTGACAGGGCGCTTAATGTGTTAAATGCTCCCAACCACCCACCAGAGAGGCAGTGACCACACCTGGGGTCGGCAGAGCACAGGGAGGGAAAGCGGTTACCTTGGGTCTCCCAGCTAAGCAGTGGTGGAGGCCCCGGCAGTCACTTTTTACATTCTCATTTCAGCGACTAAGAAGCCAGCAGTAGCTTGGGCTAAGGCAGGGGGAGGAACTGGAAGATCCCTAGTTTTCCCGCCTGGATCCTGCCCTGTCCTCCCACTGAGGGTGGCGCCTCTGCTGAGGTGTTTGTGACGCAGTCCTGCGGTGATGAAACACCAGGCACCTCAGCCAAGAGGATGGCCTGCTCCCCGGGGAGCTGCGATGGAGGTCAGAGACCAGCCTCTAGAGGCCAAGTGTCCGCACACAGGGGGCCTGCCCTGGCCAATGGCCTGCAAACAGCATGCCCACAGTGGAGAGCACCTGCATGGCCCCACCCCCACTCCCTGCTGCTCCCTAGGCTGTCCGGATCTGAGTCTGCTGAAGGCCT